TCTGTGAATTCCAGGCATTGTTTCTAAGATCTGGTGTCAAGTAGCTGTTCTATGCCACCAGTAGTAACTCTGACAGAGATATGTTTTTCTGTAATTCAGTAGACTTTTGCAAACAGCTCATCTACAACCAGAAAACAATTTAAATGCAAAGGTTTTGTTCTCTGGGGAGTGTCAATCCCATCTAGAATACATGAACTCCAATTTAGATTGCCATACTATAGTGTAGTCTAGGAATGCAATGACGTTTACCTCTGAGTAGATATGTATAGGGATATTCTGCTGACTTTCAGTTTCAGCGGATATGAATATTCAACAGCTAATATTAAGAAATATACTGTTCATCTTTTGGTGTGGAATTTTGGAAGTGGAATTTTGGAACTTTGATTTATTCCTGGTGACAAGTTTTGTCTGAACAAATGATATCTTATAAATATGTTTTGAAAGGGCATGTTGTTTCAAAACCAGTATAACTGTAAGCATAATAAAAGCCATGAAGGTATGGGGTATTTTATGAAAATGTTTAATTCAACTGTTTCTTTGGAATGTAGTAGTCATTGTCTGGAAATTTAAATTACAATTCAATCCTATGTTTGCTTGTTTTTAATGCTACTCAGTGTCCGAGAATACAAACGTCATTTAAAGTTAAGGCTTCGCTGTTCATTTTTGAAATAACAATTTAAAAGTGTCATATTGTCATAGAAAATAAAAAATTTCTGTAAAAAAATTTGCACAAAGTTTTATAATGATACAAAACATGAAGCAATAACATACCAGTAAAATGAAAACCTTTCACTACAGAAGTTTTTTATAGGAGTTTTTTTGATAAAGAAAAAAATATATATGTTATTTTACACTTTCAAAATTATGAAACAATCTAAAACAATATAAACTGAACATTTTGTAACACTGCCTTTACAAATTAATAACTTTATAAACATATAACTTTTAAATATATTTATCAGTGCAAGATAACTTCTTTTTCATTTAAAGTTGCAGTATCACTTTTCCTTTGTTGAAGGGCAGTTTTGATTCAACTCCTGTTTGAACAAATAGGTTTCCAATCTCTGCTCTAGTGTTTGACAGACACTGCAGCATTCCCTAACTCATCTTGTCTTGCAGGTATAGTTCTGCACCTTGGAAATCTGTTTAAACGTCCAGACTAAACCACAAAAGGATTCACCGAACAATTGACATGGTAGATGTTAGCTGTCATGGGGCACATTATTGTATATACAGTAGAGTTTCACTTATCCAGCCTTTGCTCATTCAACGCTGTCTGCCTCCTGCCTGGATCCACAGCTGTTTCAATACATTGTGATGTTTTGGTGTATTGAACTGCTTTTTTTCTGTCGATTTGTTGTAAAACATGATGTTTTGGTGCTTAATTTGTAAAATCATAACGTAATTTGACATTAAAGAGGCTTTTCCTTAATACATCCTTATTATCCAACATTTTCACTTATCCAACTTCTGCCGGCCCATTTATGTTGGATAAGTGAGACTCTACTGTACCTATATGTATATGTCTAGAGATTTTAGTAAAAATGTACACCCTAAATCCTGGGTTGACTTATCCATGGGTCAATGTAACTGTCTCTAAGTAGAGAAAAGAAAGATGAGAAGTTAGTCCTTTCCAGGAAAACCCCGAAGAACTGATCTTCTGCTTCTGACCTTTTTGAATTCCAAGCAAAGCAGTGGTCAGAGGCAATCAGCCTAAGGCAGCACTCTTTAGAATGACCCTCAATTTATCCATGTGTCATATAAAAATCTATAATTTTGGCCACCAAACTGACTCTCAAATTATACATGTATATACAGTAGTTTCTGTATATACTCTGCACTGACATGCCTGCTAATACTCATATCCATGTTATGTTGTCCTTCCACCATCTTGCCATGATGCTGTACCTAATACACCTCCACCACAGGCATTTGATTGCCAGCACCACAGATATTTTGAGGTGGAACCAAAGGAAGAAAAGGCAGGATGAATAAAGTTTTATTTGTGTGCAACTGGCACACAGAGAAACAAATGGAGGAGATATGGGGCGCTGATAGTTGGGCTGAATCCCAAACCAACTAGAACAAAATAAATAGTTAAACCCACATCAATTTCAACAAATTGAAATATGTGTGGAGGTGTGCTGGAGCAAGTGTAGTTAGGCTTCTAGGAATGGGAGCAATTGTTTTCAAACAGGGAGGTGAGGGAAAGAGATTCACACTATCATGTTCCATGCTGTCCTATGAGAGCTGCTTATGGTCATCCATATCAAGGTCCAAACAACATTGTTTAAAAGCATTCGACAGCCCTGTGTGCTTCCTTAGGCTTAAGTCCTACTGAGTAGAGTGGAACTTACTTTTAAGTAAATATGCAGAGGATTGGACGGTGAGGCCAACATCATCTCCTTGTACTAGATACCCTGGTACAGTCAACATGTCACCTCTGGCTTCTTACACTGAATAAGTATTGAATAAGATTACAGGTTGTACTCTACTGTACTGGCAGTAGTTCACACTAACATGTGTGAATGAGCTATAATAAAACAAAACTTTCATATAATCGGCATCAGCTCAAGCACAAAAATGCTGAAAGTTATCTAGGGTTAAAGGACTGAGTGATGAGAAGCTCAATGGTAGATTACATGCTTTGCATGCAGAGGTCCTAGGATCAGTCTTTTACATCTCTAGTAGAAGCAGAAATGACCTCTTTGTTTGACATCACAGAGAACTGCTCCCAGCCAAAACAGACATCGCTCTGCCAAATGGACTCTGTAGAGAACTTGTCTCCATGTGAACAAGCCCATTTTCATTGTCAAGAACTGTGATTGCCCATTGCTTCTGGAGATCTGCCAGGGACAAGCTTTTATGTATGGCAAGCTCCACTTCTTAAATGATATTTGCATGCTTTTAAGTCGTTGATCTTAAGATGCCCATGTGATAACCATTGTTAAGGCAAAGCTGATAATTATGCAACTGAATATTAAATGATGCAAGTGCGGTTGAAAATTATTTGAGCTGGATCTTCTCTTTGGAATAATTAAGTAGCGGAGTGTTTCAACCCATGTCATTTGGATAATGCATTTAGGAATTAAATCTGATGTATGCACTACTTTCCCCTTATGGTAAATGTTTAGCCTTGAATTCTACCTTCTTTTGTAAATCTGAGTTAAGTACAGCTTTAAGGGATGCATTTTGATATGGTGACTCACTGCGGAAGAACATGCGGATCAAGAATAGGGCTCCACAGCTACCTACGGATGCACCGCCAAGACACTACACTTGGAGGACCATCATCCTCGGGCTACAAGGGATTGCGTAAGTAAGTCAGATCGGATCTGTTGTTAATCTCATTGCCTGCATACCTTGTATGCTACAGTGTAATAAGGGACTTGAGCCATAATAAAATGTTGTTGTTGTAGTAAGATGACTCATTACGTAAGGGTACATTTGATAGAAATAATTTCCATTGCTGTTAAACTGATATGGAAAAATTACTTTATGATTACTTAACTCCCAGTTGTCATTTAAAAACCTAATTACATATTTTGGAGAATAACTAAATTCATAAATGCATTGCATCCATTGTTGCTTTCTTTACATAGATGCCCTTTTACAGTATCACACAATCTGTGTCTAGAAAAGAAAGAGAGAAATATAAACGTTCTTACACAGTGTGATCTGATTTTGACTGGGCTTGTACATTCTTTACAATGTTGTGGGTTTTTATTCTGTAATATTTAACCCAGTTTCATATTGATATGTTATACATTGATTTATTGATTCTTTACCTTATCCATTGCTGACTGAAGCCAATACAGCACCACTGGTAGCAGCATCACTGTAACCCGAATTAAGATGAATGTGTCCTACATAGCAATAACCACTCTTACATTGGATAGCATGGCTAGTAGATGGCAAGAGACATTCTTTGCTTTGAGAAATTAAAAAAAAACACCTCTTTTGCTATCTATTAATATGAAAGCCTTGCACAGAATTAAGAAAAGATACTGTCAACTTATGTTGTTAACAAGATATCCAAAGTTCAACTCTGGAGTGTAAAGTTAAGAATTCTCCCTTACTTAAAATACAGAAAAGAAACCAACAAAACAAAACAAAACAAAACACAAGGTCTAATAAATCCATTTTTTTTTGCCATTACCAGCGAATTAAAGCTGCATTTTCCTTTCCTTGACAATGGCAAATACTTATGCAACAATCTACTTGAGAGAGAGAGAGAAAGAGAGAGAGAGAGCTTGAAAGAGAGAGCAAGTGAGTGATTATATTTGAAAATACATTCTATATGAAAGAACAATAAAAGGAGAACGGGGGGAAATATTGCAGCTTTGTACAAAAATGGTCCAGAAACATGAAATTGAAATACAGGAAGTGGAAGAATCAAGCCACCAAGTTGTCTAATTTCCTTAGCCCTTGCCTTCCCAAGGTTTACTTACACTAAAATATACTTTCTTGTTAGTCAGTGAGCCCTCAGGCTAAGTAATAAGGACTTTAACTGGAGCGAGACAAAGGTGGAGTTAATGTTAACACAATGAGAAGCAGTACAAACAAAAAGGCACTTAGAGGACACACACTAGCCAGTGCCAAGGACTTTTGCTTTGTTTTCTTACAATTAGAGGCAGTACACTCGGTTTGCCGGTTTGCCGGTTGTTTCTGGATGATGGCACGTATTTCTTGTATGGAATTCACAAGCACAAAGTTTAGTACAACATTGAGAAACACCAATAAAATTCTGACTGTATTGCTTGTTAAACAGAGCTGACACACTATACTAGTACTGATGCTACAGTACTTTTTTTGTTTTGTTTTCAAAAACACCCTAACCCTCCTTTGCCTATGCACAACACAAGCAGTTATACACAAATACAGGTTCAGGAACCCACTAAGTTGCTGTTACTTTGATATTTTTTCTGGGCACTGAGCTACAGACAGTATGTCCATCCAAAGGACCCCCACCAAAATACACTTTGTGACAGCATCTTGGATTTTTGCACAGTAAAAATAATAATAATAATACTAATAAAAATATCTAACAGGGCAGAGGATGGGGAGGAAGGCAACAAAACCAAGAAGGGAGGAAACCGGGGAAGGGAGAGAAGGAAGGAAGGACAAAAATATATATAGGAAAGACCAAAAGAAACACCCCCTCTTAAGTCAATCATACTTGGTCTCAACACCAGCATTTGATTATTTCAAATCAAAACAGAAACAGAAGTAGACTGTACATGATTCAGATTGTTTAACACAGATTGTTGTCCATGTTTTAGTACATCTGTTACACTCACTGAAGCTCCTGAGAAAAGCTTGGCTCAGCGTCCTCAACGCAGTTTTCAGCCTGTACAGTAAAAGAAGATCCACAGTTCCCCAGCATAAGCTAGCGATATGTCCTTCCATCTCAATTCTCCACGACCTCTTTAGCTATATCCTCCTCATGCCTCTGAGTAAGTATTCTGTGCATTCAGTTTGTCTTTTTTCAATTTCACACCATCCACAAGTTCGAAATTGTAGTTCTCCAGTGCAGATAAGTTCCTATCCGACATTCCATTGTGCCAACAAGCACAGTACAGAATGACTCCACAGATGGCCCCCAGAAGTACTCCAAGCGAACTCATGGCGATGATGGTGATGAGAATGGGGTCAAGTGTCTTGAGGACGTTACCTGGCTTTCTGGAGATATCATCGTAGGGCTCTCCGTTTCCATGGTAATCTGGAGTAAATCCTGCAGTGGAATAAAGAAGGGTTGCTCTAATGGGATACTGAGTAAATACACACAGGGGAAAAAGAAAACTGGTTTGGGAAGCACTTTGGGCTCTATGGAGACAGTTGAAAAGGTAAAGACAGGGATGAAGTTGGAGATCATGTGTGATTTACTGAATGATTTTACAACTATGTTTGGAAACTGGTTTAACCATCAGGGTCTTAAAGAAACAATACATTTGTGCACTGGCAGGAGTATCATTGACTATTTTGAGATCATGCCGCTTCTAGATAATTTTTCTAGGTTCTAGATTATATACATGCATAACATACATGAAACCTTCCGTATGTGCACCAGAGCTTCTCCAAGTTTTTTTAAATGATGGAAGTTAATTTTGCTATTTTTTCCTCTTTTTTACAATATAATTTTTATTTTAGGACATACACATACACAAGAAATAGAATACAAATATTATACAGTATGTAGACCTAGAAGGATTGTTTCCAAAAGGATTACTATGTGAAACAAAAGAATTCTTGTGGTGGTGATGGGAATTGTAACTGTTGTGTTTGTGTCTGCTAGTTTTTTTCCTGAACTTACTTTTCAGGTGGCAGGAAAGAGAAAGACATGAAATGGTTGGAAATGTGGGCATTCGAGCATTGCTCTGAACACAAAGTGCCCCCTACGTAAGTGTTTTCAGTTAACATAAAGAGGCAGTAAACCAGATCCCATCCTTGTGGACAACACAAGGGTATAAGTGTTACAATTTTATTTCTGTGCAACTCATTAAATATGCTTTGAGGTCTTTTGCAATTTCTTTTGACATTAATTTTGTTTCCTTAATGTTGCTTGATATAGAACAACACTGTTGAGCTGAAACGATTGGAAGCAGCTCTGAGCTCAGATGCAAGGCAAATAAGTCCTTGTTGTGCCTTTCTGAACAATGTTCTGCTCTTGCTGCTGCTGATTTCCCCAGACAGTGTTTGGAACACGACAATTCAGTAAAATCAGTATACACTGTGACTAATGGTGCCTTTCTCACACCACCTGCTGCCACGTCCTTAAAAAAAACAAACACCCAAATACTTGTCTGTAATTTCTCTGTGTCCAAGCTTAACATTTTAAAGAGAATTTTTATACATGCAGAAAAGCTAAACAATGTCTGTATATTAGTAAACAAACTCTATATAGATTCGTGTAGAGGGGGCATTTTTAAGGACAATTACTGAAATGGAGACTAAAATAAGTTAATACATTGCACAGATTCACATGACACTTAAGGAAGTTTTTTTAAACTAAAGAAGTGTGTTACCTGTTTGATTAATATCTGGCTCTACTTCGACTATTTCATTTCCTGCAAGCAAAGAGAATTGACATTGATTATTAGGGTGACAAAATACTGATTGGCTTTCATGCTGGCAATAATGGTATTTAGGATTTTCCTCCTGTCTCGGAGCATGATTATGTCAGCTTGACATAACTGTTCATTAACCTGGTCTCCCATATTTAGCAAAGAAGAAAAAAAAAGGGATTAGAAGTCCTCCCTCCACCCCAGCTTGGCTCATTTTTAGAGTTATCAGCAGGGAGTTTCTGTCTCTGGAAAATGAAAATCAGTAGGCAAAATTAGCATGTTTCTTTCAATGCATTCATAATCTTGGAGCCCAGTGCTGTAAAACCCTTAATCATATACCAGCAGCACTTAATCTCAAAAAATAGTACTGCTGGCTGCAATGTACAAAGAAGGATTTCAGAACAGCTAGGTTTGTGGTTTGAACTGAAAGGTATACATACGTCCTTTGATCACAATCCCACATAAATTATTAGACCAAAGTGAAGTTAATTGTGGAATCAGCTTGTAAAGTCTAGAATCTAAACTGACAGGAAACAAAATACTTGACAGCTCTATTTAAGTACAGATCTCTTATAAATAACTAGTTTTTCATGGGAATGGATATTGTTCCACATATCGTGCATTCTGTGAGCAGAACAAGATGTAAGGATGGCCGAAAGGTACCTTTAAAAACTAACTAATTTATTGCATAGTTAGGCTGCAGTTTTGTGGTCCTTCAAACAATGTCCCAGGATTGAGACAGTAGTGTAGATTTCCTTTCATGGACAAGGAAAGACAACAATAAAACACAAAGTGCATTCATATAACATTCCAGGTGAGAGCCAGTAGGGTGTGGTAATTTGGGTGTTGGACTGGGATTCTGGGAGATTAAGGTTCAAATTCTTGTGCAGCCATCGAAATCCAACGGGTGACCTTGGGTAAATCATATAGCCAGCCTCAGAGGAAGGCTGAAAGAATGAAGCCCTCTCTGATAAGTGTGCCTTAAGGTCACCAAAAACGAAAAATAATTTGAGGACCCACAACATCATCAACCCAGGTTCAATAGATTGCATCTCTGCTTAAACAATACTAAGTAGCAACTAGATTATCTCTGCCTAAAATCCTATAAAGCTCAGAATAGAAATACTAGGCTATATGGATAAAGAACATGATTTGTAGATGTGATAGTTTGAATTTGGGTTTGTATGGAATGTAAACTATGGTATCTATTAATGAATGTCCCCACCTCTTCATGATCATCTCACACTATGTACTCTGGAACATACCTCCAAAGACTATACAACTTCAGCCTAATTGCCTTCGTGGTCTTTAAGGCAACTATAGCACAAGTTTGGAGAATGACAAGACTGATACGGTCAAATTCCAGCAGAATTATGAAGTTCATATATAGTCTCAACCTATGTAGAACCAAGTGCAAATCATCCCATGGAAATTGTCCACCTTTCCACAGGACTGAGCTATCAGCCATCAAATTAATTTCAATCAGATAAACGTTTACCCAATGAGGCAAGAAAATAGTATCCTTGTATCTATTACCAAGATGCCATACCAATAATTAGTGTTCTGCGTGCAGTATTTTGCAGTTCACAGCAAATTATACTTACTTCGGCATTCCTCCTGGGTTATGTGGCCATCAAAGTTAATGTCATCAACTGCAATTCCTCCAGTTCCTTTTCCTATTTCTCCTTCCACCATCACCTGGTAAAAGTATTGTATTTGGACAAGTTAGATCTAATGGCCAGCAGAGCTTAGGCACTCATATTCGTTGATAAGCATATCAATGAAAGACATAACGTAATACCATTTGACTGTCACATGTCAAGACTAAGTCAGGCAATTTTTTCTTCTTTTCTAATGTAACAAAAGAATGGACATATAAAGTTGGAACTCTGACAAGAGGGATAATTCGTAAAAATAGATTGGCCTTCTCTACACATCTATGAAATATAATGCAATTTCCACATTACCTAGACAAGCTGACCTTGGACATTTGCACATGATAAAGATCAAATCACCTCTGATTTTCCCTCATGCTATTTATGTTATCATCTGATAACTGTTAATGGAACACAGGAATTAGTGGAGAGATGCAATGAGATGTTGATCAATATACATTTGATCTACACACATCTCTGAAGGAGGGACTGCTTTCAGCTTCACAAATGCAAATGCCCTAAGGCTGTTCAAAAGCTTCCTGTATGCGATCAGTTCATATCTCTCACAAAAGAGTTATGTCTTGGTGTTGGGAGGCGGTGAAAGGGTTGAGCAGGATGAGAAAAGGTGTCAGAGAGAAAGAGACAACATGCCATAATTCAGTATTAGAACATGGGCTTTATATCCAGAAGGTCCCAGATTCATTCTCTGGAATTTCTGCTTGAAAGACTCTAAGGAGACCTTCTGTACACAAAACAACATCTCTTTCACAGCTATATATTGTCACTTACCTGATAATGTTTGGCAGATTTATGAAGAAATACCCGTCCTTCTTTCCAGAAACTTCCCTGATTTCCACTAAGCGTCCACAAGACCTGATCATATTCTTTTGGTGTCTGGTACCGCAGTTTGATTCTTAGCGTGCCAACATGGTGGCCTGACATGTGATACCAAAAAGTCATGCAGAGTGCAGAGTTCTGCGGGTTGATGATGGGACTGATGAGCCGTGCAACTTTGCCTCTCTGGTTTTCATCAGCTTGTGAGTAAATGAAATTGCCATCTCCTGCTGTGACAAAAATACTGCATTAGAAATAATGGCTCACTTTTGGCTCTTTTAAACCTGATAAAGCTCAAGTACTCTGAAACTGATCTGGCCTTATCTGCAGATTTGTTACAGAACTACAAGTCTGCAAAGAAGACTTGAAGGTCACCTTGCAATGAACTCTTCTCTAATCTCCCCTTTCCAGCAAAGTCAACATTTTACTGGCATGAACATTCTTGATGCATCATCCCAAAGGGGACAATTAATAACTCAGGGGATAGCATGGGCAATCCCCACCCCCCTCTGAACAAATCAACAAAGGTCAGGGAATGAAGTGGGTAGCTATATAGTTGGATCTCTGTACCCACAGATTCATGAATCCATATATTCCCTGACTTCAAAATAGTCAAAAAATAAAAAGGAGACCTTGATTTTGCCATTTAATATAAGGGATAACATTTTACTCAAACCCACTTTGAGTCTCCTTGTGGAGAGAAAAAGCGGGGTATAAATAAACATAATAAAGCAAAGGTAAAGGTTTCCCTTCGACATTAAGTCTAGTCGAGTCCGACTCTGAGGGGTGGTACTCATCTCCATTCCTAAGCTGAAGAGCCAGCACTTTCTGTAGACACCTCCAAGGTCATGTGGCTAGCACGACTGCATGGAGTGCCGTTACCTTCCCGCTGGAGTGGTACCTATTGATCTACTCACATTTGCATGTTTTTGAACTGCTAGGTTGGCAGAAGCTGGGGCTAACAGTGGGGGCTCACCCTGCTTCCCGGATCTGAACTGCTGACCTTTCAGTCAGCAAGTTCTGCAGCTTAGCAGTTTAACTCGCTGCACCACTGTGGCCCAAACATCATAAACATAATAAACATAATAATAATAATAATAATAATAATAATAATAATACAATGTGATCCAATACAACAGCCAGCAGAGAGATCTTGTCTGCTGTGGACTCATCTTGTTGTGTTTCAAATAATAATAATAATAATAATAATAATAATAATAATAATAATAATACACAATTTTATATAATGGGACTTCAGCATGTAGTGATTTTGTTAGACTAGAACCAAATGTACTAGGATAGGAACCCTAATGACTTTTCACACACATTTTAGCCCTGTTGGAACTAATACTAAAATTAGCTGGCTGAAAGCTGTATGCGAAAAGTGAATGTTTCAAAGGAACTGAAGAAATCTTATCCCCATATCTCAGAGGATTATACCGACTCAGTCTATAATGGTGACAAACAGTGCTTCTGCATTTAATTAATTAATTTCAATACATTTATGCTCCACTTTTCTAAAATACTCAAAGCGGCTCTTTGTGTGTCACAGTGTGAAACAGCAGCTGATTTGCCCCTTTAAGTGCTCGCAAAATGAGTCTGAGCACTGCCAAAAATGTCACAGCAGAAAAGAAGAAACCAGACTCACAATGCTTCCATGAAAACGTTTCCAGATTACAGCTCTTGGAATGTAAAAAGGCACCTGAAACTCTAAAGCCTAGTGATAACAAAACCTCATTTAAGAAATGTCATTTTCTTTCCAGGCCTTCAGTGAGAGGACAAGTTGTGCTTGTCTCAAGACACTCATGGCAAAGTTCAAATATTTTTCATTTCAAGAATATTATTGCAGCGCTGGGTCAGGAACTCTGCCTTCTTTGTCTTAATTAGAGCTCAACTTATGCATGCCTTTTAGATTTTGTCAGTCCTTGGCTAACATGGCTTTTAACCTCCCTTCAATGTCAGATCTTACTGAGTCATTTCATTTTACTTTGCATGATTTTCCTCCATTATCACAGCCTTCATTTCGGTTAACTGCCTTTCGCTTAATTTGATGCCATTTATTTGTACAGTGCCATTTATACTCAAAAGTATTTCAAGTTTTCTCCCCTGTTCCCTAAAACTAAATGTACTTGTCTTAAGATTCAATTGAAAGTGTCTCTAAATTTAAGGAGCCCAATTTTGTCTAATTTCCTTGTCATTCTCATTAAATAAAGGAGTGAGGGGGGGGGGGGCTCTGAAAGTGGAGATGGGGGGTGTTATTGCCAGCATTTTTGACTCATCTACATAATGAAAAGGAGAACAATAATTGAGATATATGAAGGTCACAAAATGGCCTTTGCTCACTGGTCTTTGAATGTGTCGCTAAAGTAACAAGTAGGAAGCATGTGATGGATTGAAGTTTTATTAAATAAAGACATTTGCAAATGGGCTTCTAAAAGTACCTTCAAAATGGCCATTATATGTAAACGTTCTGGCAAAAGCTTGTCAAGTTACACACTTCAAGAAAAAAGGCTTCAATACAAATAAATCTTGCAATAATTTTACTAAAACAGTTCTGCCCTTTACATTACTGTGGAAAATATGGCTTCTTGGCGAGTGTTTTATTTTAATTTTACACACAATGCACTTTCCCCCTCTTCCTTCCCTTCCTTTGCACCCCCAGTTTGGATGTGAACCCTACTTTACCTGTGTGGTCTTGAATGGGCCCTGTTTTGCTGGTAAGCACAGCCCACCTAAGGTCCAGTTGGCCATCATGCTCCCAACGGCAAATTGTCTTCTGAGAACTGTAGCCAAATCCACAGTTGAACCCATAGGCTGGGAGTTCTTTAGGAACAGGATGGGAGGGGTGGTAGCAGGGGAGGAAGAGAAAGAATGAAAAATATGCATATAGGTAAATGATTGTGTCATTTGTTTCTCCTAATCATTTCAAAGGTTCTGATAAAACCTATTTTATTAAAGTGAGGTCTTGCATAATTTGCTGGGTTGCTGCTAGGTGAACAAACCTACAGCAGCAATTTAACTAAGCCATGTTTACAGACTCAAATGCAAGAGAAGCACAGACCACATTTCACTGGTTTGGGTGCACGGAGTGTATCCTCTGTCCAAAATGCCCAGAACAAGAATTATTTTGGATTTTTGAAATCCAGCGCTCGGCAGCCAGGTTGTTAACGGGAGCGGCACTCAGGGAGCACACCACTCCACTGTTGCGTCAGCTCCACTGGCTGCCAATTTGCTACCGGGCACAATTCAAAGTGCTGGCTTTAGCCTATAAAGCCCTAAACGGTTCCGGCCCAGCTTACCTGTCCGAACGTATCCCTATGAACCGGCGAGGATGTTAAGATCGTCCGGGGAGGCCCTGCTCTCGGTCCCGCCAGCATCACAAGTGCGGCTGGCGGGGACGAGAGACAGGGCCTTCTCGGTGGTGGCCCCTCGGCTATGGAATGCACTACCAGCGGAGATCAGGCAGGCCCCTTCGCTATTGGCGTTTAGGAGGCGGGTTAAGACGTGGCTCTTCGAACAGGCGTTCGGATAAGCATGCAATAACATCTGACTCTGAAAGACGGCATACTGAACAAGGAATGGTAAAACGACTGTGAGACTGGATCTGATTCTATTCGAGGCGTGATGACGTTATGTGTACTGTTTGTGGATGTTTGTCACATGTATTGTTCAATGTTGCACATTTTACTGTAAACCGCTTAGAGTCGCCTTTGTTGGCTGATATAGGCGGTATACAAAAGGAGTAAATAAATAAATAAATAAATAAATCTGTATTTGCATGTACATACATAATGAGATATTATAGAGATGGGACCCAAGTCTAAACACAAAATTCATTTATGTTTCATATAAACATTACACACATAGCTTGAACGTAGTTTTGAACACAATATTTTAAAATATTTTTGCACTTTAAAAAATGTATGTGCATTGAGTCATCTGGAAGCAATGGTACCACTATTTCATGCAACTTTGAAAGGGATGATCAATCTTTAATAGCAAACTAAGCCATGGAGGAAGGGAAAGAAAACCAGTGCCATGTGTGTGCACCTCTCAACAAAGTGCCCTCCTCTTTGACACCAATGTTCTCTTTCTACTGGAAGTGGTGGGCATTGAGTAACACCACCAGAAGTGTCTGTGGTGGCCACCTCTAAGGTGCCTATTTTTGATATCTCCATAATGCTCCAAATGTAGCATTGTTGCAAATCATTGTGGGAACAAGAACATGGCACTTTTCAGTTGCATACCATGGCCATTCGGTAAACCTGGGCACAGAAATATGAACAAGCAGCAGTGGGGAAGAACCTTGTGAAGTCTGTTACAACTGCTAGGAAATTGCTAGAGACTTCCATTACAATTGGAGAGTTTTTCAGAAAGTATATGAAGGAAGTTGCCAAAAGAAAAGAGAGAATCCACAATTCTTGAAATTCATTGCAAACTCGTTCACATAGTTCTAAACCAAAGGTGCGAATTATCTGCCCCTGAGTCCAGATGATGTTGAACTGTGACTTTCAGCATTTCTTACCATTGGCTAAGGATGTTGATACTTACAATATCAAAATATCTAGATGAATGATACCCATCCCTCCTCTAAACTATGGTTAAGAACTGCATCTGAATTGTGTCGTACAGCCATCCACTTCTGATATCGCTTTAAATTGTTCAGCTGCCTATCTTTTGCATTCAGCCATTGTGTTTCCTCCCATGTAATTAGATTTTAAATGATATGGCAGAAATGACTACTGATCCTTTTGCATTTTTAAAGGAAGCACACCACGGTTTGTTACCAAGAATAGATTAGCTGAGCAGGTAAACTTTATTCAGGTAGCTTATATTCATATAATTGATTATTAATTACTATCAGTTACTATAAACCCTACAGACCATGATGTATTTTTAGGCAGAAAACAGTATAGTATCAAAAGCAGCATGTTGTGTCAGCTTTTGAGTGCCTGCTTGAAGTTGACTTTGAGCTATGACATTGAGAAAGGGACCAGAGCTGAGCATTAGAGCACACGCTTTGCATGCAGACAAGTTTATTCAATGTAATGGAGGCTGCCCAGAGTCTTTCCAATATCAGAGACTGTTCCATACATGAAAATACTATTAGGAAAATTTCCCGATAGACCTCAATCTAATTTGGCAGCCACAGAAAGGTATTCACAGTGTACAAATTCCTGTTCTACATTTAAATAATCTATTTCCCCATCTGCTTCCTGAGCATATGCTTCAAGGGTTTCTCAAAATTCCAGCAAGACTCTTCCCTGTATTGGAAGAATGTTTGTTATGTGATATTTGGTTTCATTATACTTTGGCACCTTAATTCAAGTATGGGACCAAATTCAGGAACTGCTTGGTTAAGTAAGTTGGATGTGCACCTGGATTTTGGATTTGCATTCAGATGTGTGCTCGAATGCAGATATTGTTTTTCTGAAGAGTGCTACTGTCAGCTGGACTTGTATTTGAATGCATATCCTACACCACATTACGGTACAACTTGTCAAGCATAAGTATATTTAATTCAAGAATATCTCCAACCTGGGGGTTGGGACCCCTGCATGGGCTGCGAGGGGGTGTCAGAGGGGTCACCAAAGACCATCAGAAAACACAGTATTTTCTTTTGGTCATGGGGGTTCTGTGTGGGAAGTCTGGCCCAATTCTATCATTGGTGGGGTTCAGAATGCTCTTTGATCGTAGGCAAACTATAAATCCCAGCAACTACAACTTCCAAATATCAAGGTCTATTTTCCCCAAACTTTGCCAGTGTTCACATTTGGGCATATTTAGTATTTGTGCCACGTTTGGTCCAGATCCATCATTGTTTGAGTCCACAGTGCTCTCTGGATGTAGGTGAACTACAACTCCAAAACTCAAGGTCAATGCCCACCAAATCCAATATTTTCTGTTATTCATGTTAGTTCTATGTGTCAAGTTTGGTTCTATTCCTTCACTGGTGGAGTTTGGAATGCTGTTTAATTGTAGCTGAACTATAAATCCCAGCAACTCCAACTCCCAAATGACAAAATCAATCCCTCCCCCAACCCTATCAGTATTCAAATTTGGGTGTATCGAGTATTTGTGCCAAATTTGGTCCAATGAATGAAAATACATCCTGCATATCAGATATTAACATTATGATTCATAACAGTAGCAAAATCAGAATTATGAAATAGCAACAAAAATAGTGTAGAACTGTATTAAGGGATCACGGCATTAGGAAGGCCGAGAACCAGTGTTCCAGAGGGACACGTGTGTTGGTCTAACACAGGGGTCCTCAAACTAAGGCCTGGGGGCCGGATACGGCCCTCCAAGGTCATTTACCCGGCCCTCGCTCAGGGTCAACCTAAGTCCGAAACAACTTGAAAGCACACAATAACAACAACAATCCTATCTCATCAGTTAAAAGCAGGCCCACACTTCCCATTGACATTGTTCTTCATTTTAATTGTAGCATTGTTTATAAAATATGTGCAGTGTGCATAGGAATTAATTCATGGATTTTTTTTTCAAATTATAATCCGGCCCTCCAACTGTTTGAGGGACTGTGACCTGGCCCTCTGTTTAAAAAGTTTGTGGACCCCTGGTCTAACAGCTTTCACAATACCATTAAAAGAATCACTAACTCAAAAAGCATCCCCAAGCCAGCAAAAATGTAGAACTAAACAAATGTCTCTTTGAGGCAGTAGTGCTTAAGTGTCCTGCTTTTACATGATAATGAATAATAATGTAGATACTAATAATAATGTAGGTACTAATAATCATACTTAAATAAAGCTTTCCACATGCTGTTTAACTGACCCACAAGATGGCAGCATTTAAATGACTACAAACCTAAGAAAGGAATGAGACAAATGTGGCCTACAGCCAACCAAATACAAAACAAGCTTCAAAAGAAGCTCCTTGTAAAACAAGGGAAGTCTGGTGCTATGTTGCTTATTTTGGTCAGGATGAGATCATATCTTGTTTTCAACGTCTCAAGCGTTCTGCCCAATGGTCTTACATGAGACAGTTTATTGTTTTTTAAATAGAGTCTTGATTTGAATAGGAAAATAAAAATCCACTCAATAGAATGGCTAAAATTCCTTTGTGTTTTCCAAAACAGTTTCTAAATAGAACAATTTTTTAAAAAATGTAGTTGAGAACATTTGTAATGAAGTGTCTGCCTTAAGTATGGACAACTTGGAAATGATACTCTTAACAATTGAGAGGGTCAATGCCCAAAGACATAATTCTACCCCTTTATTACTTATCTTTAATTAAAAAAGGGAAAGGAGCTCCCATGAACCTCACGACAGGCTGAGCAACTCATGTTTGAAGAACTGTCTTGCTGTCATGATTGATTGTGTTTTGGCCTCAGCTAGGAAGAATGATAGCGCAACAATTCAATACTCTTTCAACAGGAATGACGCAGTGAAGGGCAATCCTACGCTAGAAGCATTCCTGCGATATTGAAAACATGATACATGGTACTAATGGACTCTGACCCACAGCTGCCTTCCTTGCCCATAGAATTTTTTAAAAGAAAATGTACAATGAAAGACATTGGGGGGAAAGAGCAGGAGAACACAGTGAAATGGAGAAAACAGATAATATGCTTTAAAAGAACAAACACGAATTACATATTGAGAGTTAAATATGGGGTAACAACAGCTAGCAAAGATTGAACATCGCAGGTATGCCATAGGTTCAGTGGTAGTTAAGCTCATATTTTGAGCCTGAGAATGAAACATCAGATAACCACTTCTGTAGAAACAAAAGGAACTATCCTCATTGCTCATGATGTTGCCCTTTCCTAAGCAGAAAGAATGCTATTTGTGTGTTGT